TGAGGTAGGACCTTTAGAGAGCTGTGAATAAATAAATGCCCACAAACCTCAAAGAGCTAAAGCAACGCTGTGAAGAAGAGTTGGTCAAAATTCCTCTATAGTGATGTAAGAGACTGATAAAGCCACACAGGAAACGATAACTTCAAGTTATTACTGTTAAAGGTGAATCTACAAGCTGCTGAATCATGGGGTGTAATTAGTTTAACACGGTGAAATATTTCCTGGGTTTCATTTTATAACTTAGTAAAGCCTGGATCACTGTTATTATGTCCTGATACCCAAACCTTTAGAGTTAAAAGAGGCTGTACTTCCCTTTGACCGTATCTGAAGCTTGCAGCCTCACTACAAGTTTCCGGAAAACACTTTAGTTAGAGAGTTAACCATCTGTTTCATGTACATGCTGCAGTTCCTGTCTGTTGTGACAAAACGCAGACGAGAGGAAGCAAAAGAAGAAAAAAAAAAAAAGGTCTGAGATGGGTCGTAGGCTGCTGATAAAGTTAACCATAAACTACAAAGATCTCCATGGACAGCATCTTTTTATATTCAGCACATAAATAAGCATGCTCGGTGAAGCAGTGGCGTCAGTTTCAACTCAGATCTGTAGCGAGTTAGTGATTGGTCAATGTAAAAACACAGCGTGCGCAAGCAGAATTGTTAGTAATGTTAATGTGGCAGCAGAAGGAGATGAAGAGCGTGTTCCTGTTTGTTTTTCTTTCCAGCTGCATCAATACCGATGTTCCATGAACCACTTAAAGAATGACGCTTGAACAGAGAGGGGATTGCAATAGATGCATGCAATATTCTCCCATCTGGAGGAGTCGTCTGAATTGCAAACAGGCAAACGCATAAAATAAAATACCAACACGATTAATGAAAGAATTGATTTAATTCAGTTGCAGCTGATTTGTTTTGCCTTTGGTATCAACCAACTATCATTAGCTCCTGACATCTATGGTCTACTTCCTCTACTGCTAATATTTACCCAATCATCAGTCTTGTTTTGGCAATATAATCATCGCCTAGCTGCAAACTTAGAGGAGGAACACCAGTAATTTTCTACTGCAGCTCCAGAGTTAAGAAACACAAAGTAGCTACTTTCAGCTGCTCCCTTGTCACAAGTGTTCGCCACAGCAGGTAGGTCCACATGTTTGATTCGGGCACATTCGTGTCTCGGCCTGAATCCTAATCAGGGACATTAGTTTGATAAGCTAATGTGTAAACCACTCCACTGCGCTCAAAACTGAAGCACGAAAAGGCAGAAATAACTTGATTTTGACAGAAACCTTAGACACGTCCTGCTATATGCTCACACTTTCAACACTCGGTGGCATCCCCGTCCAATCAAGCAGAAACTCGGAGGCTTTAAACTGAAGCCAAAGTACCAAAAAACTGCCCGACCGCAATTGACTAAAAAAGTAAATGGATCTCACCAAAATTCTAAATTTTACAGCAGAGATAAATATGTTACTTAAAACAGTTTAAAGTGCATTTCGAAGTTGATGCCAACTGTACAGGGTGATTATTTCACAATTCTCCTGTTTACACTAAATTAACTATTTGAGTTGTACCTATGGGTACAGGTGCGTACCACCAATTCAGCTTCAGCTAATCTGAGCCACTGAACTGGACGTCTCAACTATGTTTGTGGTATTTGTGCCTTTAAGACGCTTTTTAAATCAATAATCTGTCAAAAGTCTGTCCAGGAGGAATGTTCTCTAGTTTTTGAATGAAATGTTAATATTTTATTTTCATGCCAGCGCTAATTTACATAAATCTGTGTCTGTGCATGCTTCTGAGATGAACCAACCTCTTGTCATAAGAAAGGTGGAATAGGTACCTGTTATATACACTCTATCGATGCACTGCATTAAGCTAGTTAGCAGTAGCGGATAACTTAGCACTCTAGCACTCTTCCAAATCAGGTCACTCTGGGCTCCAAAAAAACAAGATAGCAACAGTCAATGATGCTAAAATGAAACCATTAAAGCAGGCATTTGTAAACCTGTTTTTGTGCCATCTTTTATATACAGTCTATGTTTCTGATGCATTTTCTCTTGCACACGTCATGAAGTCTCCCAAAGCATGATAGCAAACAAGAATAACTGTCGGACTACACAGCGCTCCTTCAGGACTACAGAGGATAATTTTTAATACCTAAGGAGACTTCCTGTGACACATCTGCACGTGGAAAAATCAGCTGAATGCACGTTGGACTGGATTGATTATGCGTACCTGGGACTGGAGGGATTGGGCTTCTTGATGGTGATCTCATCAATCCGAGCTTCATAGATCCTGTTGATAACTGTGTTCCCCAACTCACACATCAACTAAAGGCAGCAGGGAAACAAGATCAAATAAACCATATTAAGTACTAATATCTAATTTTTTTTATTTTGTTTTGGCTTATATAAAGAAAACGGTTGCATAATCCATTGCGCTGGAACTTTTTCACAATAGGCCACAGGGAGGTGGAGCCGCTGCAGCTTTAAAATTTTAAATTACCTTAATAAGCTCGGGCTCCCAGGAGTCGAGGGTGAGGGAGCGTACTTTGGAGAAATGGACTCCAAGGCTCCTGGAAGGAAAGGGAAGGAAACCATTAAAGCACACAGTGGAAGCCAAATGTGTGTGTGTGTGTGTGTGTGTGTGTGTGTACCTGTGTATTCCTGAGCAGACGATACAAAGTGTGATGCCCAGGTTGATGGAGGCCCAGTCAGGACCCAGCTCTCCGCAGTCGCAGCACTGCCTGTTCCCCGGGATTGCCTGAACCTCCTCCAGTGCTTTGCAGCCCTCGTTGTCCTGATCCACGCCTCCTCCACCTCCTCCTCCTCCTCCCAGGCTGCTTGTAGACACCGAGCTGCAGCGCTGTCTCTGATAACAGAGACACATGGGAATGGCGAGCATTTAACTCCCACTGGAAAGTGCACGTTGAAGATAATGTGTGTGTGTGTGTGGTGTATGTGTTCTCACTGGGCTGAGCGTGTCCTCTCGGCGCTCCTGAAAGGCTGAGGCGATGCTGTTTTGGACGGCGCTGATCCATGCTTGCTGCTGCCTTTCTGAGTCTGCCTGCAACAAACAACACCTACGCAAACACACGCACACACGCACACAAAGTCACACAACAGTGACCATTTAACACTCAAGAAGCAAGAAACTAACACCTCGGCAGTCTGCAGGACGCTTCACACACATGTGACGATAATACGACTTCACCACCATTACTGGAACAGACACACGCAGGTGTGCATGAAGTGAACTCACTTTGATGGGGAAACCACTTCAAAGCAAAAACGCCTCTCATTTTCAATGCTGGGTTTGACTGTGCAAAGACGCAAGTCCTCCACCACGACTGTAGGCTGGTCCTAAAAGATGGACAAACCGTGATGGTCAGGTTGCATACGTGCAAATTCGTCTTTCCAATGTGCTCGTGACCCTAAGCGAAATTTACCTTGAATTTCTTCTGATACACCAGCTGATTCTTCTGAATTGAAAACCAGCGCCTGAGGTGGAGAAAGAGTTTCGCTTTTTAGCTGTTTTCATTCACTGCTGGACAAGCAAACGCACGGTGGACATCGGATTTATCACAGTGAGGTTCATGAGAGGAAAAGCGCACAGCAAAGTTGTACCTGCTCCAGGTCTTGAAGGCATTGCTGGCCCTCTTGTACAGATAGCCCTCCATCACGATCCCATTAGCTGCGTCACCATTAAAGTCCATAATGGAGTCATCATAAGACATGTCCTTGAAATATTTAAGAAATTAAAATCACATTGTGTCATCTGCTTCAAGGCCTTTTTTTTCTCCCCACAGCTTTAATTGTGTTTACAAAAAGTGACGTAATACAGAAGTAATTGGTGCGGTCCAGATCTGGCGTACCATGTGGAATGATTATTCTTTGGGTTGTCCCCCCCTGTTTGCAACATCTGGGCCAAAAGTTATCAATAGCGGTGCTGCATTTCATCCGAGAACGATGCAAATAAAGCAACCATGCTATAATCGATGCCATTCAAATGTGGGCTACTTTTAGGCTGACATCCAGGCCTAACCTGACCCAGTAAGTTGCATCTTTGCCCATGTTAGATTTGTTATATTTGCACCAAAATGCTTTAGTCTCACAGTACATCAGTTTGTCGGGGCCAGAAAAAGCCCATCGGCACTGAATCCTTTCCAGAAGATGCCAAAGTCCCTGGTGGGCTCCAATGAGCAGAGCGTATTTTACTGAAATACACATCTGTCTGCACAATCAGGAGCTTAGCAACCAAACCTAGCATACAGGTACCTCTTAGTTCCCTTGAGGTTTTTATCTTTTTATCTATATTACATATTATATGTTATTATGTTGCCTAGCAACTACCTACCAACTGTCTAAAATGACTAACTTGTTGGATTTATGCATCTTTATTAAATCATTGCGTCATTTTAACTTCACAACACTAACATCTAATTTTTATTGTTGCAACTTTCATTATGCATCATATACTGTTATGTCATCGTGTTGTCTAGCAACCACCTAACAAGAGATTAAAATCACAGATGAAAACACAGCTACACCGTGTAAAAACGAACGTGACAGCACCAGAAATGCCGTCTTCGTTATTCCACTGTCTCCGTCTTGTTAAAACCTAGTGCCTACATTACCCATGATGCCCCTTTCGGCTGTGAACATTTGAAACTGCATTACCTTTTTCTTGATTGCTGCGTGTCTTTGCTCCATGTCCCTCTTTTCTCTGGCACAGTCGAGGACAAACTGTTTGTGCTGTCAAAACACAACACGACACAGCGGTTATTAAACCTGGATTCATATTTTTACACTTTCAGCTCGCTGTCCAGCTCTACCAGGTTAAACACACACTGAAAGGACAGTGGTTTGATCACCCTCCCCTCCTGTCACTGTGCTGAAATACCCTTGGGCAAGATAGTGAACCAAACACTTTATAACTGAATGTTAGAAATTGTTTATGCGTAGAAAGCGAGTAGCGAGGTGCTTTAGAAGCACCGGCCTATTTACCAGTCAAACTGAGATTATTCAGAACATCAACATTTTTACGAGCCTTCAGATTTGCACCACTTTTATTCAGGTCGCTAAACTAGTACAAAAACCCCCACACCAACTATTTTTCAGCATCTCTCACCGATCACTTTATCTTTTCCTTTATTTCATAAGAACATCGCAAATTTTTAAAAAATAAAGCCCAAAACAGTTTGTGAGAACCGTTTAAAACTATAAAACCTGCATAGTCTTTCCATTTAATGTTATGAAGGAGAGTTTTCTCCTTTCATTTTCATCTCCGACACATTTAGTTCTTTCAGAAACTCAGAGAGATCGGCAGCTTCGCGGTGGGTTATCACTCCTGCGCACTCTTGTGCAAACAGGAACTAGGAAATGCTGAACTTCTGCCGTGTATCCTGCGCCAAACCAAAAAACAACATGGGTGGTCTCTCCTGCACAGAGCCTGCTTAGAGCATCACCCTCTCCCTATTTCACTCTCTCCTCTGCTCTTGCTCGTTCTCATCATTTCCTGTTCAAACAGGAAGCGCTTTTCTGTGGTTTGATCCGGTCAGTGAACGTGTTCACAATTTACTTCCTGTTTGAAACTCTTTTTATTTTATCAAAAACACTTAGCAGCAATGCTGCCTCTGCTCAAGGTTGACGGTGCAGAAAAGATTTTACAGTTTCCTCTGAAAAGGAGCAGGAAGGGGCGCACGCACACACACACACAGACATGTGAAATATTTCCTGTTGTTGCTCACTTTTTCCTGTCACGATGAAAGTGTGATGTCACCTTGTGACTCCACTGCCCCTCCCCAAAGAGATGCCAGTTCCTAGCTGGACAGAGTTAACCCAAACAGCATTTTGGCCAAAAGCATCATACCATGACGCCCGTGGTCCACAAACACAATTGTTTCATTCAAAATGTCTTTGCAACATCTTGTGTATCCCTAAGCTGGAACAAACATTTGTAATCCATTTCCTGCCTCATAAATCATCTACGAGGATTTTCTGGGTGATTCAGGCCTACGTTGTTCACCAGCTTTTGGTTCGCTTCTCTCTTTTTAGCATGCAGACAACGTACAATGCAGCAGTTTATCACCACTAACTAATCAACTCAGCAGCAACACTTCATGTGGTCCAATCATGCTTACTGTGAGTGTCCCTTGAAAAAGCCCATTCTAATGCAAGAAAAACACTCTGCATTAAGTTTATAGCAATTAGTCTTCGGCTCAGGATAAAGACTCAAACTTAGAAACTGCTAATGTGGCTGTGTCCACTTTTTTTAAGGAAAACATTTTTCAGAGATGAAATTAACACGTTGACAGCCTAGGCCAAAAGCACTTTTTGTCTATACAGCTTATTTCCTCCTTCAACAACTGTGGAGTAGGTTAAGATTTAATACAATAATGAAGTTTAATCCTTAAAATTGTGTAATTTTACAAGACCAAACATGGTCACTTCTGGTCTAAAAAGATGCACCAACGAGTGCAGGACATCAGGAGTGGCTGTTTCCATCTTTTACATACAGTCTATGGGGGCAGACTTTGTTACCTATTTTAAGGGTGGCTCTTTGGTGCCCTGGCAGGGCCTCTGTGTGTGTGTGTGTGTGTGTGTGTGTGTGTGTGTGTGTGTGTGTGTGTGTGTGTGTTGCTTGCTCTTGGCAGCTGACTCCAGTTTAGCCAGAGAGAGGAGTGCTCCAAGAGCTCAGTGCAGAGGAGGCGGTTTTGATTGGCTCCTTTAACCCTTCTTTGGTTACTCTTTTGTTTAGTTACCAACTTCTAGTTTTGTTGTGTTTTTAACTTATCATTTGTTGTTATTCGCTTGAACTTCTTAGAAAGAAACACACACACAGCAGGATTACAAGTAAGGTTTCTATTCTACACATTCACAAGTATGAACGCATTTTTCTCACATTGAGGATATCTTGTTCCTGTCCTACTGCTACTTATTTATGACTCATGCACAGACGGTTTCAGTCACAAAATGTCATTTTAACCGAAACAGATGTAACAAAACAGAAAGAGTTACCTCTTCATTCAGCTTTTGTCGATACTCGTCCAGTTCTGACAGAGACTGGTGACCCTGCAGGAAGAACTGGGCTTGGGCATCCATCAGCGACAACATCTGACAGGAAGCAACACAAAGCCAGTGAGAAACATCTGAAGATGGAGTATGCATTTAAAAATGGACACAAACAGGTAAAAAAAAACAACTCACTGCCAGCACAATATCTGTCTTCTTCTTGGCCTCAATGACATTAATCTGAGAAAAAGAAAAAGCAGGAAGCAATGGTTAGAGAGACTTCAATATTTTCATGACCAAAACAGATACTGCCCAGCCAGAAGCCACAACCACAAGACTGGACGGAAGCCCCGAGGCAGGCCTGTTATCATCCAAAGCAAAAGTATGACCACTGTGCTGCTGCTGCTGCAGGCTGTTGTTCCAACCTAGCAGTCTGAGTTAAAGTGAAGCCCATGTGAGCCTCTCTGCACTCATCTTTCCTCACCTCCAGCACGTAGTCCAAAGCCTCAGACCTGAAGGTCTTGCGCGCGTTGAGCAGGGCGTTACTCGCCTCGTCCACTTCGTGCTGCTTCCCGCGTGGAGCCTGAGCATTCCTTGACAGCGCCCCCTCCAGGGCTTCGCTGCTCTTTTCAAACTCTTTTCGTCTGTCCTTAAAACGACGAACATCTCTGCAGAACAGGAGACGAAGGTAAGAAGGGGAAAAAAAGTATTATGCTGTGCAAAAATCTTGAGCCATCACTCTTTTCTGTGCATATTTCCTGCAAATGTTCTAGTAATTTTGTGCTCTTGAGCAACAGTTCTCCACGCTTTCTTAATGTCTTTCAAAAATTATTCTGGTGGCTTTTCCACTCCTTATCAGCCCAGTCCCTGTACCTCACATTTCCTCATTCATTGAGCCCCTTGACACTAACCTATGAGTCATTCAAGCAATAAAAATGCACCTAACACAAGGGATGAACCAGTGTTCAGACAAATTGGCAAAGAAACAACTTTAAATGGTATCTTTAGACACTTTGTTGTTAGCAGCTTGTCACAAAACATTTGTTTAATTGATTCTATCTGACGCTATTTGTAAAACACAGTGGAGACTGTCATGGTTTGGCACTGCATTCTGTTGTGTTGCATCAAAATTGATGCAATTAAGTACACAGAAAATCCCATCAGATTTTTATCCACCATGCAACAACATCTGGAAAGCATCTGCTTGACAACAGCTGTATTTTTCAGCATGACAATAATCCCAGACACTTTGCCAATGCAATAAATGGACACCTGGATAGAAAAAAAAACACACACTATGGAGCACTATCGGTCATGGATTAGCCTCCCCAGAGCCCCGACCTCAACACTACCGAAGCAGTGTGGGATCATCTAAAGGTGGAAACATCATGTCCTTCAAGAAGTCTGGAGAACTATGCCTGAAGACTTCTCACAGAAATAGAAAGAAAGCTGCCTCATAGAGGGAGGTAAAGTAAGCAGTATCCACATTACCAGATCAGTTTTTATGCAAAAGCAGAAAGCAAGTTATTGGATGCTGCTAAGTCACATGCACATGATATAAAACATTTTTTAAACACCGGCAAATTTATTGTTCTTTCTTTCTTACTTTTTTACCATAGCTTTTGTGCAATACTGTTTACCACGTGACGCTATCGCAAATACCTCTCTTATCTAATCTACCAAGTTATTTCCACTAATGGGAGCAGACCACAAGACAAACTACTGAGGAGAAGCAGAACGATTATGACAGGCACACATGCAGGGGAATGACTGTATCTAAGGAAAATGTACGTATGTATGAAGTGTATGCTGGTGCTGGTGGGAAAGAAGCTCAAAAACTTAAAGCCTTAGATCGAACACACAGGTGGGGCCACCGTAGCGGCTCACTCACTCTTTCACAAAGCTTTGCAGCTTCGCCCTCACTGACTTCTGCGTCGTCTCAATCACTTCCTAAACGGAGACAAAGACAAACATATTAAATGTCAAATGTAATATGTTCAGCGGCGTGCTGCAGCCGTTATTGACCACATACTGCAGCTGATAAGTATCTACACTGAAAAGGAGAAGTCAGAGGCCGTGAATAACAAACTCACCCCCTGTGCCTCAAAAATGATATTCAGCTTTTTGGAAAATTTCTCCAAGCAGTCCTGCAGAGCACAAATCTTAGATTAGACTCTGAAACTTATCAAGTCAGTAATGCATTTTAATGTTTTCATTCATCGATTCATAACCGCCATCTTTATTTACAGCTTCCGGGCACTTTGAGAACCCAGTGTGCTCTGCTCACCGCCATCATCTTGTCCCCGGAGCATTGGTGTCCGAGCTCCCGGAGGCCATTCACGAAGCTCTTGCTGGTCTGACAGTATGCTTTGCCGGCCTCCAGCATGGCCTGGCACTGTTTCACTAGCTGGATGACACAAATAAGCAACACGAAGATTAAATGATCTCCTGAACAATGTAACAGTAGGCAACAAACGTCAATTTAACATAATCTGCATTCATGCTGAGTATAACCTTGTTCACAGATTTTAATTCTGGTTGTTCAGTAGCCGTACTGGAGACCTGAGAGAATAAGTATAAAACATGCCGGAAGTGTTTCAAACCTTCATTCTATCTAAAGGCCACCAGGTGGCGATAGCTGTGGTTGCAGTTGCAAAAAGACTTGTGGTCCTATAAAATTGTATGCAGAAAGCAGCTTGACATCTGTAAATACTTTCCTGCTAAGTGTATGAGCTCAGTCGTATATTTTGAGTCATACTGAAGAAAGAGCAGTCGACCACTTCGTGTAAGCACTATGTTTGTTTCTCTTTTAACTCCATTTTGGTCTCCACCACCATACGAGGACTATATGAGGCTCTTTTATCTGTTAAAGTTAGCTTTTTTCTTCTTCTTCTTTTGCTAGCTTATAGCTAATTTGGCTAGCTGGCTAAATAAAAAACAGCAATGTTGTTTTTGTCTTATTTTTGCTGAAACAGCTTCTTGATAGTCTGCTCCTGGAAAATACGAGAGGCTGTTTCTGCCACTGGAAAAAGAAATTTGCCATCTATGAGTCAAAAATTCAGGTTATTATCTAAATTTTGACTTACAGACTAAAATTTCCGAGGAAGTTGAAATTTTGAGATAGCTGCCTGAAATTTTGACTCTAGCTAACTTGAAACTCAAAATCAGCTCTTTCTGGTAAAAAATAAAAAAGATAAAAATTTCATTGGTGGAAACAAACAGCACTGATGGAAGGACTGAGACTGAAACAGCACAAACTGCGTCATGCCAGGAAAACTTGCTTTAAAGCTATTTAGAGGCTAGAAAAGTGGAGGATCTCTATGTGTTGAATTATGCTTTTTAAATAAAAGTAAATACATTAATTTTTTAATTAAAGGTCAAATATAAACTGAGCTTCTGCCTTGGAAAGATAAGGCCTGTACCCAGTGTCCACCCTCACAGTCGTTTCCACTTTTTTGTTGATTAGACCTTTCCTCTGGCCTCTGTGAGCACCTTTTGAAGTTCAAAAACAAGAAATTACATACAGATTATATTTTCTTACCCATTAAAAGCTCCATTTATCAAGCAATAAAACCCACCGCTGATCACTTCAGCGTGATCTGCTGACTTACAGCTCGAAGCTTTAGGTGGTTTTCAAACTAATTCAGTGACTTTATGACTTTCCTCTTAAGTGCTGCTTGTGACCACAAGCGTTCAGCAAAAAGGACTAAACCCTGTGAGGAGCTCCTCTCTTCCCCAACATGTTCAACAGCTCATGACCTTTATTACATCTGGAAATATCTAATTCAATGCAATAATTTAAAAGATGAAGAAAATCTTTAGTTTTATTTGCGTCACATTTAAACCACCAGTGACATCTGAGGAGGCACGTCGCAGTGACAAAACCTAACCTGTAATGGATGTTTCTGAACACAGCGAAGACGTGAAGCTGAATCCACAGGCTTCAGTCCTGAACTCAATGAACTTCTAAATTGTTGAAAAAAAAATTACTCGTACAGCAGATTATCTGCTGACTTCTTCTGATCTAGTCAGATAACTGAAAAATATAGCGTGCAGTGTCTGTCAAAGAAGAAGAACTTTGTCCCAAAATCCTTTTGGGATGTGGCTCAGACCTGTCGCAGCATGTGAAATAGCACCGGGACAGAAAAAAAAACCCAACATGTGCTACTTCCTTAAACCTAATCTCGTGGAAAACATCTCATGCATGCTGGGAAAGGCTTCTTTCTGTTTCACCTGCTCAACGGAAATCAGTCACATTCATGACACTTTACAGGCAAAGTGAGTGTGTTTGTTTTTTTGTTTTTGTATTTAAAAATGGTAAAATATAACATGTGGGAACCTGAGCTCGCAGAATAACTAACAACATAGTAGTAAGTCACTTTGATTTGTTCTTATTCCGTATCATCGGGGAACAGAAACGCAGCATGTGACTGACGTCTATCAGATGAATAGATCTGAAACTGTAGATTTTTACAGCGTGAGCACGCAACAGGGAATATAGGTCGGCACGGCGAAGCAGAACAAAGTGCAGTTCTCTCTGAAGCAGGACAATATGATGGGGAAGCAGCACCTGCAGGCACTTCCTGCTCGCCATCAGGTGAAAAAAGCTCCAACCACCAACGCCCACCGCTGACTTCGCTGCCACTGTCCATCGACACGTGATGCCTCTTCTCCATTTGTGCGCTTGTGTGTTTGTGTGTGAAGTGGAGCGGTGACTCACAGCGGTGCTATTTCAAAAACATCTGGAGGTGTCTTACCTTCTCCAACCGTGTCTCGAGTTCACTCACGTCATTCTGGACGTCCTCGATCTCAGCTCTGGAAAAGAGACAATTTGAGTTAAAGGTCAGGGGTCATAGATTTTTCAATATAAGGCGTGAAACCCCTTCATTTTAAAGTCATTTATCAGCTCTATCCTCTCAAAAACTGCTTTTTCTCTTATTTGCACAATTATAAACTAGAATAAAACATCTTTCTGATGTTTTACAGACTAAATGTTTCATTTCTTTACACATTTCTGCAAACATCACTCCACCTGCCCTGTGATTGGCTGGGTTAGCCACCACCGCCCCTCCCCATCCTGCAAACCCTGATCTAAATAAGCAGTTAAGAAAATGAATGGATGGATTCTTGCACATATTACTGCTTAACATTAAAACATAACCACTGCAATATGATGTGCTTCTGTGGTGCAAGCTCAATACCTTCATGGGCAGCTTTATTTCTCCATTTCTTATTTGCTCTGCACGCTTACAAACCAAATAATTCATGCTTAACATTTTTATTCTTGTGCTTTATTTCCACTGAGATGATGCATATGACTCCTCAGCATTTCCATTGAAAGCAGTGGATGTCAACGTGTCACCGTCACAGTGCGCAAGAACGGTCGCAATCGCACAACAGGAAAGAGTATTTTTTTTGTTGTCTTAATATTGTGCAGCTAGAGAATTACTCCACATATTTCACGGCCGCCACTATTTCAGGCCCCGGGCATCTTGTTTTACACTCATTTAGCTGTAATTAAGCATGAAGCGTTGGCTATTTTTAGAATCTCTGTGACCTTCGGCAGGGTTTGAAGTGCATTCCTGTGGGTTTGAATGGAGCTTAGGGGACGCTCCAACCATCAGAAGTTTATGTAGGCCCACATGACTGCAAAGAAAACCTCCAGTGTGCGTGTAATTGATTACGTTTTGTTTTCTGGGTTCAGGATGTGGACTCGAACATCTCTGAGACAAAAGCTCCTAAGAGATCCTCTTCAGGGCTGGTCTTTTTAGGGCGTTCTTCTTTCTCTTGTTTTTTTTGTCTTGACACTTTCTTTCGATCTCTTTCTGCCTGTCGTGTCTTCTCATACCAAAAGCTAAACCATGTGGTTTCCGCTGCCTTCCACCAACAGTACAGAGATACAGAGAGAAACAGAGAGGCAGAGAAAAAAAAAAAAAAAAGAGGCGCGTCTGAGCGGGGAGAGGAGGCCCGGGACAGACAGTAACTGTTTGTGTTTGTTAGTGCGGCGAGGTTTGAATCAAAGTCTGAGGTCATGTGCTCTTGAAACACGACCAAATGACATGTCAAGCCAGGAGAGAAGCGAAGAAAAGGGGTGTTTTTTTAAAAAGAAGAAAGAAAAAGGTCTAAAGGAGAGAGGCCACTGTGGAGGAGAGTGAAGGAGCCCTTGATTAAAAAGAGGCACATCCTTTTTATCTTCTTCATGTCTCCTTGCAAGAGAGACAGAGGCTAAGAAAGCAAATTAAGACAGAGCTTAAGCTGAGTTTCCGCCGTGGTTCTCCCCACAGAAAACACGCTTCCTGTCTCCTGTTGATCACCTCAGCACATCTCGCTTCACTTCCTGTCGCCCTCCCACCCCGCTGTTACCTAGTAACCAGAAGGTACCACATTTGAGTGTCTGTCCCAAGGTGTCAGAGCACTTTATTTCCCCTCATTTTTTTTTTTTGCCCTCTGTATTGTCCATCCATCTTCCCGTGTATGTGTGTGCGATTAACCCTGTCTGTGTATTTGATGACTGCAGCACCTCCTCCCTCCTTCACCCTGCTCGCAGCCTGACACGAGACCTCACCACGTCTGCTGCCACAAGTCAAACTTTCCACTGCTGTGTGAGCCCCATAAATTCAAGATGGGCGCGAGAGAAAGACTGAGGTATGCCAAATCAGGCTGAGGCAGCCACTGTGACTCAGGCGAGCTGCCAGAAACTGTCAAGGCACACCCAAAGTTGTGCCAAGCTCTCTCTTGAGCCACTTGCAAAAGCAACTCAGAAACACTTCCCTTTCGATTGCACCAGATGTGCTGATGTTGAAAGGAAACTGAGCGCACTCCGCTTTGCTGACACGCAGCAGGGGCTGCAGTGACCCGGCCTGAATTAAGATTTTGATTCTCTGAAAAATGAGTGTGATCTCTCTGAGAGTGGAGGTGGGTTGATCTCAACAACTATCAGGAAGAGGAAGCATCAAAGCTGCAGCTGAAGTTTGGAAAACCAAGCCACTAATGATAGCACTGCTGATATTTTCCACTGGAAGGAGTTTCATGGCAATGTTTGAATGTCCGTGGCTAGTACAGGTTTTCTGTGGTCTCGGTGAGATGTGGGAAAGCACCTCAGAGCAGCAGATCAGCCCCCCACGGCCCTGCAGGCCTGCGCAATGTCCTCATAGCTTTCAGTGACTTTTGACCCAAGCAGCTCAAACTCTCTGACAGAAGAGTGAACAGCAACACCGGCAGATGCATAAATGTTTTAATAGGGAAACATGAATCAGCCTTTAATCCATAATCTCCTGCTGGAGCTGGAGCACAGCCAGCTTTTCACTGGTGACATCAGCATGACTAACGAAGGTACAGGTGAAACTCTTACCTGAAGCGCGGGGAGTCCTTCAAACCCTCCTCAAAGTCCAGCTTCACCGTCATCCTTTGCGTTGACACCAGCCCTCGTGACACTTCGTGTATGTATGTGACTCCTGGCTTTCAGCTGGAGGTGCCCGGCAGCCTGGCAAAGACAAAAACTAACTCTTTTTTCCCCCCACTCGTTTTAACGCTCCACATCGGCAGCCCGGATCATTGTTCTCGCTGCTGGGTGTTTTCGCTCTCGTGTAGAACTTGTTTTCCTCTCCGGGTTTCTTTCTTTTTCGCCCGATCTCTTGCACATTCGCGTCGGAAGAGAACTTGTCAGCACTGAATGAACTGAGGGGATGTTAGTCGCGTCATTACCATCTTATGCGGCAGATTAAAAAAAAAAAGGCACAGTCCGGCGCAGAAGATGCGCAAAGCCACGGGAGGAGTTCCAGCAGAGGGCCAGAGTGTTCTTATGGATCCCAGAGGATTTCAAATAAAATCCGATGGCAGCGTGAATCAGCACTCCCCGGGGGTGCCGAGTCTAGTACTCTGCCTGTCTCTCTGCCTCTCTCTCTGTCTCAGTAGAGGTCCACCCCCCATGTCACGTCCCACTATTTCCGGGTTTGTTACTCATGGCAAACTGTGGTTTTGAAGTAGGAAGCTGCACATAATAACAGACATACACTGCCAAGTTGCATCATATGAAAAAACGCCGAGCTGAAAGACTTACAATCTGACACTAACGTTTAACATCCACACCGGCTCCAGCAGGCCGTGTCGTGACTTTTCACCCCCCTCACTTAGTTTCTCTCTTTGTTGTTTGTGTGTTCTACTTTTCAGTTACAGTACAACTGTGAGCTTCACATGCAGTTAGACTGGGTGTGTATTCTTGTCTGACAACCTTGTCTGTTATGGTTTTTGCTGAGGTGTAAAGAAACTCCCCTATAGCCACCCACTGCCAACAGATCCACTATGGAAGTTCATTCATGCCAAGAAAATAATGAACCTATTAATAGCAATGGAACGGAAGAACAAGAGGTTTGAGATTCTGTGTTTAAATATGTGGCATTGTTTTGATTTTTAATGTGTCTAAATGGCTGTAATAAAACTATTTTTAAAAGTGTGCGCACATTTTCTACATAAATCCAAAGTGCCTTTATTTTTTACCCTGCGCCCACAGCCAATAGTGTGTAACTACAGGTAATATTAGGTTAGAAATGTAGTCCACTAGTTGCTATACCACAACACCGACGTAAGGCCAAAAATCAAACTGATAACGTTTTGCTAGGAATATTGTTTCACCCTAGTGACAGATCCAAATCAAACAGAGAGATTCATTATTCATAGGGAAGCAGGAGAAATATCATTATAACAATAAGGGCACCAGGTTAGCTGCTAACCTGGTGCCCTTATTGCAGGGGTTGCTCATGTGCTGACAAACTTCAAACTACAGCAGAGTGAATGTGCAAAGTTTGCAATGACAGACAAGGTGAGCATGGTCACAGCACGTGCACTTGCCTGCAGAGATTTTACATTACAATGCACTACACATGTGCCCGAACTTCAAAGAAGTATAACAGGAATGACTACTCCGCCATCGCCAGCTATAACTGAGTATAGCCGAGTGATAAGTGGCAAATAGTTTGATTCTGTTTAAACAAGCCTAATGACAACAATGAACAGCACTCAACAAAAACAAGGCGTTAACCTTCTGGGAATGAAAAAAGAAAGAAGAACAAGAGCAAGAGGAGTGAGAAAAAAGTCAGCACATAATAACAACTGAATATAACACTAAATAATTAATGTGAAATGAACTGTGGAGGACAAAAACTTAAATAACCAAAATGTCACTGTCGTTAAATTATTTCTACTATTTACTTTAGTATTCATGTTAGTTTTCTTAGCTAGCAGAGCAGCCTACTGTGTCCATGTGATGTTACGTGACTGAGCCAAACACAGTGGTTATGAATGATGCCTGCAGGGACCTCCCTGCGTATATGTGTATAAGGCTGCAACACACTCGAATCACCACTGACTGCATGCACATAATGTGATACAAAGCTATAGCCCACACCAGCCTTCACTCAGTTGCTTTATGATTTTGCCAGCAACATGTTTTTGTGAAAATAAATACATCAATATTAATAATATATATTTTTTCTTTTTAAACGTAAAGGGGAAATTCCTTCCTCTTTATCCCCCCTTCTAAATTCCCGGACCATGTCATCATAGTACTAACTCACTGTATTTGTTCTGTTTTATTACACTAGTAAGTCTCAGAATAACAATGTTCAAACAATCAAGCATGGACAAAATAAAGCTAATAGTGGTGATGCTGAGATGGGTGTTAGACGTGGGTTTAGCTGGGCGTCCAAAATCAAATTCTGATTAGGACCCAGTGATACCTCTGGCTGACTCTGCTCAGGCATACAGTACACTTGTCTCTCAGTTGTCATACAACATATGACATACAGTGCAAAACAGTGCAACCCAGAAAAGGTGGATAAACTGTTGTGCTACAAAATAAAAATTGAGATATCATTCAGAATATGATAGAATATAAAGATTACAGCAACAAAAATCTAAATACAATGCAATTAGCATGATAAAAGTAAAAATAGAAGTTAAAATATGTGAAATGTCAGACTTCCAAGGTGAAAATTGTTAGTATTTCAGCTCAACATCATGAAATACAAAGAAAATCCGTGACTTCCTGGGTCAAAAGGAGGCAGCTAAAGACTCGGTTATACTCAGCTGTGGACAGTTAGACAACTAATGACTGTTCCTGTTATACTTTATAAAGTCTGCCGCCTGGTTGCAGGGACAGTTGCCACATTGTCATGTAAATTCTCCTTGGATAAGTCTGCACAATCCCAAAAATCAGGCAGGTATGTGGATGTACACGTGGACCATCTGATGATGAGCTTTACCTCACTGCTACCCAAGTGGACGTTATCGGACTTGTACAATCCCTGCTTAAATTTTAAAAAAAAAAGCAACCTACTCACTAAGGATCTCGATAGTACTTCAAAAGAATGGCTAACTCAAAAAACACGAGTAAGTACTGTACAGCTGACTGAGGCTTTCTATGTTAGAATGATAGTAGAAAATAAAGAGTAAATCATTATCGCTTATTATCTAACACGTTCAAGTTACAATGCAAAAACATAAAAAGTATAACTTTTTACATTTTTGTCCTGGCAGAGTTGGGCTTCCATACATTTCACAAACCGGCACAACAAACTATTGGCCAACATTAAATAAGCAATCTTGGCTTCGTTATCATTCCCACAAACTTGTGTAGTCAGGTTTGTAGTCAGACAGTATAAAGCCTGTGGTTGACTACTTTGCGTGGAGGTGTAATTACAGCGGCTCAGAGGGCGCTTCTGTCTACCTCCATCATACCACCGTGTCGAAATGCACAAAAAAAACTCTATTTACCTATCTGATCCTGTGTGTGGCTCCCCCTGCTGATCAGAAACAATCATTGCAAGCTCGCCTATCTCATCAGACAACAACATAACTGTACTGATGTTTTTCTTTCTTCCCTTGCTTTCACGTCACTGTTCTTTTTCCCTTATTCCCTAAAAGTCTGGGTGTCGGAAGATCACAGCAGAGTGACGCCTTCGGTGTCCAGACTGTTCCTGTTTCAGTGGGAAATGATGTGATTCTCACATGTATTTTCTCAGGCGACACGGAAAGGGCGTAGTTAGGTATGCTGTTGCCAAGTTGCTTCATCAAAATAAACAGTGAAGTGATTTCAGAAGTGTACCAGCCTTAACGTTTCAAAGTAGGCCCTTCAACAAAATTCCCATGCCAAAAATGTATATATGTGTGTGTGTGTGTGTGTGTATGTGTGTGTAAAACGTATAAAGACGGGCACAGAAAACCGCATATGTTTTACACAACTGACAACTATAAAGGATTAAATAGTAATTTTAGCTTCTCAACTTTACGTATCTAAGCCCTTAAAAACATCCTGCCCCCCTTCCAGAGCGGGCAGCAGAAGCAAAGTGCAAGTCCTGCGCCAGTAAACGGGGGCGTGTGCGTAAATGGCGCAAACCGATAGCGCGGCACAGCCGGCACGTAGCTACAGACGGTCGCTTCGGAAGGAGAAATAAAACCGTTTTGTGCGAAGTAAACTTGGCGACTCGACAGGTTCTTGTTTGTCTTTGACAGGAGATCCCCTCAGCATCTCTCCAAGAGCCAAACCAGTCAGAATAAACAGTGTCACATCCGGCAGGATTTTCAAAGTAAAGCGCGAAACGACACTCTCCTGAAAAGAAAGCGTGCTGGGAGCAAACTCTTTGTTGGAGGGCTTTATTCTATTGTGGTTATTTATAATAAAGTAAAAATGTATGTGTATATTAGTTGATAAAACACAAATAAGATATAACCAAAAGGCAAAACTGCAGTCGCCACCAAGTTGTAGAAGTTGTAGTAATGTTTAATTATCTATTATTATTTTTTTGCCAGGCCCTTCTCATAGCTACACAAGAATCTCAGGTAAAAGCATTTTTCATGAGATTAGGTTAAACAAAATGAAAGCATTTAGGCTAATGTGGATAGTTCATCACCAAGGTGTAAATACAGATGATGATATTGATGCATCACATGATTTTCTGTAATGTTCTCTAATTACAGATCTTCATACATGGGGTGGGTCAACATTTGGCACTTTTAAGCTCGGTTAAAAACTGCAAATCTAATTTAACCCATCTCCAAGTGATACAGAATTAGTATGATATGGGATATATCATAGTCTCAATAGTAAATCTGTACCAATTTAATCCCTGTAGACTAACAGAAGCCATGGTTGATATGCTGGATGTTTTATTTTCTCTTGATTCGCTGGAGAAACCATAGAAAGTAGGTCATATCCTCCTGAGATCGCGCCTATTCATTAGGTTCTCTGTAGTGGACAAAATAAGATAAACTGAAACATACTTTTCCCCCCGGTTCTCAGGAAAACATTACCATGTGTGTAAAACCATTTATAGCATATGAAAGATCTGTTCTGAGTCACTTTTTTCATATTTGACTGATTTCATAAGGAATGACCCAGCTGCTATTTTCCAAACCAATAAACAGGTGTTTCCTTCAAAAGTAAGACCAGGCTTGAAAGGAAACTTTGAATATATCACACGATCCTTATAACATTTTAATGATTTTTATTTCTCAGCGTCTTTATGGCAGACTAATACAGCTGATTCACTGTGACCCACAGAATAACTGGAAAATACCTTGACCTACAAAACAGTTGATGAGATAACCAAGTGGTTATGCTGGAACAATTTTTTAAAGAAACAGGCAACCAAAAAGTAAAAATGTCACAGTCGCTCTCGAGAGTCCCTTATCAATCGCTTTTATTTTGAAAGGTAACCCGAGCTGCTTCCGCTATGCTGCAGGTGGGTCGCTCACGGCTTGACGCGCCTCTAGTCTGTGCAGCCTTGCGTTTGGGGTGAAGCCGCATAAAAGCGTTTCCATAATGCGGGCGTGAGGTGCTCCTTGGAGTAAACGGAGGGGATCCGGGAGGAGGACCGCGGAGTGTTAACCGGGGAGGGGGGGAAGCCTGCGTGACAGGCGGCGACCAGAATAATTAAAAAAAAAATGTCGAACCGTAAGCACCGGGACAACCAAGAGATCTGCGCCCGCAAGGTCCGGGAGCTGGCCCAGTCTGGAGTAAACAAACACTGCTTCGAGTGCAACCAGCCCGGGGTGACTTACACCGACATCACCGTGGGCAGCTTCGTCTGCACGTCGTGCTCCGGAATGCTGTGAGTGCAAACCCCGCCGCCCCATCCGGGGGTGGGGAGGGGTGTGTGGGGGGTTTATTTACTGCACATTTAGTATCAGTGTGAGGGGCAGCCAGATACTGATAGAGTAAAAGTACCAGGCCTTAGATTACACCGTGCACCACCCAGCCACGGACAAATGTGTATCATTTGGTTCCCCTCTCCTGACGTTAACAGGGGTTGTTGGTGCTATGCAACAGCCGAGGATGTGTGCACACATTAATTTACGCAGTGTCTACCTCTCTCTGTCTCTCTCCCTCTCTTTCTCTCGTGCGTGTCTCCCAACAGCTTGATAACCGACAGACCGCTAGCTGGTCATTTTCCAGCTCTGAGTTACGTTTCATTTCGTCATGGTGCAGGTTTGACACCACCTCTCTCTCCCTCTCTCTCTCTCTCTCTCTCTTTCTCTAGGCTCCTTTTCAATGTGGGCGTGTGTGTGTGAGTGAGAGAGAGAGAGTGTGTGCGCCTGTGTGCTGTCACACTTTGTTTTGCATGTTCAGCCTAGTCCCCGGCACTCCTCTTCAGGAAGACGGTTTCGGCACTCAGTGTGCGTCATTGCGCAATCTTGCACATGTACAACAGTGTCCCACTTTATGTCCCCAGCATGAAGAAAATAGGAGCTTCTGGAAGACATGTGTCTCTCTCTGTCACGATTGTTTGCGTGTGTGTGGGTGTATGTTGTCTTCTCCACAACAAATCTGTCCTTTGATTCACGGTCACGTGTCAGATATATTTCCTTTCCCACCTGCTCCATCCCCTTTGTGCTGTCTTTAGAGATGAGGGCTGACTGCAAATCTTCCCATTTCTCTCCTTTATTTGACTCATCCGTCTCTCCTCTGTGTCCCAGGAGAGGCCTCAACCCTCCCCACAGAGTCAAGTCCATCTCCATGACAACTTTCTCCCAACAGGAAGTAGAATTCCTCCAAAACCATGGCAATGAGGTGAGTGAAGTCCCAACTGGGGGCCCGATGCCTTGTGTTTGCTTCACTTTAGAAAAATTAGAGGAAAAAAAAGAAAGATGTGCAGCTGAATGTGATTTCTTCCTGTTGTTGACACTGCGGAGTCGTCCGAGGACATCAGCTACCATTTCTTTTCTTTTTTTCCTCTTCTTTGGTCCAAATTCAAGGTTAAAACTGTCTGTTTGTGGTTCTGATATGGAATGTGAAACGCCCCTTGAGACTACCAGTCCAACCAGTCTTTGTGGCAGTGCTTTTTTTTTTGGACGAGGAGGAGGGAGGAGGGGAGGGGATACTAGTGCCAACCTCGTACTGTGCCAAGAAACAAAAGGATGGGGCACTTAATGTCCCACAAAACCACGATCTATTTCCTTTCTCACTGTGTGTGTGTGTGTTTTTTAAAACCAGGGTTTAAACTCTGAACAGACCCCATTTTAACCAAAAGTCAAACAAAAGCACCCTATCAAAATCTCTTCCTTTATTTATTTACCTTTATTTAACTAGCAGGGTTTGGTGACATCAGAACCCTTTCACAACAGAGACCCAGCCAAATAAAACATTAAATATTTATGTAAATGCAAAGAAAAACAACCGTGTCTCTTACCAAACGTTCTGCGTGATGGGTTTTTATAAAGTAAACAATTAATATGAGAATACTTGAAATTATATGTTTCTGCAAAGTGCTTCATATCCGTGGTGCGTCACAAGAAAATGCTGTTTTCTGCACGTCCGTCGGGACCCGCAGCTACGTTAAAAAGCGTCCGTTTGCAGGATTGTAACTGATAACAGTTGGAGCTGAGGCAGAGGACGGTGCAGAGGTGAACTTGCCGTTTACTCAGTGTTTGTTTATGCCAAGAGTGTTGAACTTATTTGAGTTATTGGGCTACAGTTAGAGCCAAAAGTGGGCCGTACCTGTACAGCCTTTTTATAATAACATATAAAAAGCACTTCCCCCTTTATCTGACCTGCACATGAGGAGTGTGTTGGAACTAAACGTTCTTTTTTATAACTTTATGATTTTAACTTTGTGATTCAAGAGCTGGACAAATACCTTGCCCAGCTCTTGAAATCCTTTTCAATTTTTAAATGTTTCTACTCTCGTGTAACAATTCTGGCAATAGCGCATCATTAGCAGCAGTGCATTTTATTGAAACACTGGAAGTATTAATGATATCGCTCTGTTTTCTTTGTAAAACCTGGAAAATTGACCAGTGGAGCAGATCAGCAGACTATTTTAGGATTAATTTTATGCAGCTTAGGCCATCTCCATGCTGTTTCTGTCAGTACTGAGTGATTACTCTTATTACTTAATATTTAACAAAGCCTGACATTATCTTCTAGAGTTTAAATGAAGGCTTCAAATCGGTTTGTCTTGGTCCAGAAAAACCTAGAAATTCGATATAAAAAGAAATAAAACCCTTCACGTCATCAAAATGAAGTTTTGATATATTTTCCAACTTCCATATTAATATAATACCAATCAGTCCAGCTCTTTGAGCTACAATTGTGTTACTTCAACTTAGATTATTATGGTAATTATTGTTTATTTCTGTAGTTTGAAAACTTAATTACCAAGTTAATTAAACCTCATTTTGGTGCTGAAATGTGATTGGATTGCATAAGCCCCCCCCCTCTCCTCACAGCATCCACTTTGGGAGCCACTGGTTCAGGCAGCTCTCTCTGCTGAGCATATACCAGTAAGTGGTAAAGAGTTTGAGGCTATCAGCACAAGTGCTTATCGGTTTTTATTAGCTTGTTGTTGGCCGGGGTCTGTGAGTCAAGTGTAATGTGCAGAGAGGCATAGGTGTGCATCGTCCAGCTTTTCCTTTCTCATCATCCTCTGAAGAGTGATCCGGTCAGTCATGATTCGCTGCCAGTAATATTTGCTGCACTCTTGCACCGGAGATGAGTCACTGATGAGAAAATCTGTGTGTATATCCGAGAGACTCTCTGAGATTAAATGTCAAACAAAAACCAGGGATTGCTCTCATTTTCTACTCAGGGAATCGGAAACTCACTAACCCTCTTTTTGTTTTTGATGGATCGGTCCCAAGCAGCGTGGTTTTAATGTGACTTCTTGGAAATGTGTGTCTTCAGGTGGGCAGAAGGACGTGGCTGTGCGTGTTTGACCCAAAGAATGACGGCTGCTCCGACATGAAGGACTCACAGAAGTTCAAAGAGTTCCTTCAAGATAAATATGAGAAGAAAAAATGGTGAGAGCTTGGCCTCCGCCTGCATATAACCAAATTATAATATATACTGATGGAAGCAGAGAAAAGCATCTTAATTTTTATTCAGTTCATTTATTTATTTTAAATCAATTTTTATGTAGAAAATTCAGTTTAAAAAAGCCCAGCAAATGTTCAAGTTTGCATGTTAATAGTTAAAAGCCTTTAAAATAATAAAATAAAACCTTTTACAGTAAGAATGTTTATCACTTACAATATTTTTTAAATAGCACCATTATTGAGTAAATATGTTAGTCTGTCTTAAAATAGAGCAGTTTAAGATAAAAACAGCAGATGTTAGCATGCTAATATTTCAAACTAAAGTAGCAAACTTGCTAATTAGCAGAATGTAGGTGCTGTACTTCCTGTTGTTAAAGGGTAATATGAGTAAAAATAAAACCCTTTCAGTATTGTACATATGTAAAAATGGCTATAAAAAGAAAATTAATTAGAATTATTATTTTGAGCATGATAGCATGCTGACGTTAGCATTTAGCTCAGTTTTTATTGTGTTACAGAGCTGCTAGCATTTAGCTGTTCTGCTCGTGCAATAAAGATGTGTAACTGTAAAAAGAGTCATTTTGAGAGGTTAAAAGGGAACACAAAGTAAAATGAAAACAATAGCTAATTAGGGCTTTCCATGTTTGAATAAGAGATATTTGCTCAGAAAAATTAGCTGAGGGCTAATAGCTGCTTATTTTCAAGCTTAGAGAATGCTCTCAATCTTCTTGTTTAGTAGATAAATGACCAGATGTCAAGCTTTAATTGTGTTGCTAATGAGACTGGTTAGTTACACTGCATCATTTGTGTTTTGCAGGCATTTTTCCAAAAGTAAGAACCGGAGAGATATGGAGGGTCCTTGGAGTCCAGGGGTTCAGGCTATGCCCCCTTCTCATGGTCCCTTAGCGAGCCAGGGGCTATCCCATAATATGCCTCCAAATGCCAGAGCCACAAGACCACTGGTAAGAGGCTAAAGGTGTGGTAGTTGTCTGTGAAACGGGTGGAGGTAAAGTGAGGGGAGTGAAAGTGAGAAGACGAGGGTGGTGTGCGTGTGTGGTTTTAATTAAATAAATAAAAAAGAGGAAGGGAAAGTAGAGGAGATTTTCAAAGGGTATCGAAAAAAGGATAGAAAGTGAAGAAATGACCTGAATTCGCCGCGGCACAGAGACAAAGACTGATGGTTCGGACAGTCGGAGGGCCAGGTAGCCTCGGCTTCAAAGCCTCTGCTTATGAATTATTGAGAAAGGATGAAAGAGACTCACTTCCTCTGGCTTTGTGTCTCTCTTTCTACCCTCCATCTGCTTCTCTTCTGTCTCCTTCGATCTCTCATCTTCCAGTCTCAGTCCCAGCTGCCGTCTTGGGATCGAGCCCCCGCCATCTCTCCCGCCGACATGCGGACAGACGCGTTCACGGCTCGGCCGTCGCGCTCCCAAAGCTTTAGAGACCCCCCTCTGAAAGGTGAGAGGAAGATTTGTTTGTGGCATCGTCACGTGCTTATCTCTTCTTTTAAAATTGTTTTTAATGCATCTTTTGTTTCTTTCCAACGCAGATCCCACCCTGTGTGGAATAGAAAGGCAGCGACCAGGCTCTTTGTCGTCAACACTGGGAGGTCAGAACCACGGCCCCTCATTCCCCGCCCTTCCACGGCCTTCAGGTGTGCCCTCCGCCCACTGGATGCTTTGTGCCACTGTTAGTAGTAAACTTATGAAGGCTTTCACAAGTTTACTACTAATGTGTCTCCTACCAGCTGTGTAGTAAAGTGCCACAGTGTTTGCTGTATTTGGGAAGCTAGTTCCTCCTCTTATGTGATCTTAGGAAAGATTCCTGGTTAAAAAATAGACACTGTGCTTTCTCTGTTCTATTCCTGACGCCTCTAGCAAGAATATTTGGCAGTGCATCGTTCACGGTGTAAAGATCATTGAATATTTTCGCTGATTCTCACTGATGTCGCTCTCCGCTCATCAGAGCCTACGAGTGGCAGATTCATGCGACGCCAGTGGCACTCACTTGTTTCTCCTTATCTCCCCTCCTCTTTTCTCCTGTCTTCTTCCTCTCTTCTCCAACCACGTAGCCAGTAGCTCGTTCAAAAACCACTTCACTTTAGGTAAGATGCATCTCCGGCCGATGCTTTAGAGTGTGTGCGTGTGCGCTCGTGTGAATGCTGAAATCAATAAGCTCTTCCAGTGCTGTATCATTTATAATAGATGGCCGCGCCGGTGCTTAGCTAGCATCACATGCATGTGAGTTGGAGTTTGTTTCAGAGCGGCCTGAGGGGAGAGGCGACGCAGCACTCTGTATTCATTTAGCCAGCGAGTCGTGGCTGGCCAGTGTCACATACTGCAATTGGGGTCAATGTTTTTCTTCATAACTCAGGTTTCCCACTTCAAAGCCCAGATCTGAAGCCTAGGAGTGTCAAGGACACACACACACACACACACACACACACACACACTGTTCCCTCCCTCAGAGGAAAAAGAACAAGTTTAAAGTGGGGCTATTTTTAGGCCGGAGCTGCTGCTGCTGCCCCCGTCAGCAGAGGGCCGCTGATATTTCGCACCACGTTGGCGTTGAAGCACTTCAGAACTATGTAGGGCACAGCTGTAATCGCGCCATACACATTTAACACCCCCAACAAGTATGCTAGGGAGTTCAGGTATGCTCTCAAAGACGGAAAAACATGCAGATACCAGCAGATAAGCAGCATCAGGTCCATTCTGCTCTGGTGTTTGTGTCTTCATGGAGACCATGTTGGATTTTAACTTCTGATCCCATGCTCATAGCTAACTGGCTGATCCAGACTCTGATATTTTGCTACAAACACTGATGTTAAACATCATTTCCTGTCTTTGTTAACTTCTAACAATTGCATCTAAGAAGTTTCTGGCTTGCTGCTTTCCTGTGGTGTTTTTTTAAAAATCCCTAAACACAATGAGTGTGTGTGCTTTATTTAGTACAGTCTAAGCTAATGTTGCTATTTCTACACCTCATAGCATGAGGATCTTTACATGGCGTGAGATAATTTGCTTCTATACGTAGTGAATGGGCTGTGTTATGTGAGAGTTACTTGCGAATTATTGTATGTTATTTGAATTTGATGCTTCAGGTTCGAACGATCACATTTTAAACATCTACCTGTTAGTACATACTAATCTGCGATCTCTCTCTCAGGTCGGACAGTGTCGGCCTCGGGGGCTACGGGCCCCTTCAGGGCCTTCCCCAAGTCTCTGAGCGTGGACTTTGGAGGTCTGAACCATCCCCAACCACAGCCTCTGCCTCAGTCTCTGTCCCAGCCGCAGCAGCAGCCTCAACAGCAGCAACAGCAGCCTGTTGGCATAGGTCAGACGACAACGCCGGTCAGCAGCGGCAGTGCCCAGGATAGGTACGCTGCTGTGTCACAGCTGGACAGCGTCTTCTCTGAAACAACATCGGTCACAGGTACGATATTTTTATCAGTCGAAGCTTTAATACTTTTTGTATCAGTGTAGTTCAGAGGCTTTTGCACAGTTGCATTTATTTCACAGCTTTTTGAATTTATGTAAGGTGTTCATAGACTGTATATAAAAGATGACGATAGCTGTTCTGGTTTTTTTTTTATTATTTTTTATTTTTTTTTAAATCTTAACTTTAGCGTTGTTTTGTTTTATTGCAACCACAGGTGACCATACAGAGACAGGAAGCTGGAGTGTTAAGTTCTAACATGAGACTAGCAAGCGTTTCACACACGGAGACAGGATGTGCAAATTAGTCTTAAGTGACACCAAGTAATAAATATTAGAATATGACTCACCGAAACTGGTGCACACACTTCCTGTAAGGGATGTGAGTGCAGTTGACTACACAGGAAGGTGTATTTGCATCATAAATGCTCTAAAGGGACCAAAACCACAAACATGTTTGAGAGTTACAGTGACTATAATTAGCTAAAGATTGGCAGACAGGTAGCTGGCTAGCCTACACCCAGTTTTTACTCAAAGTGACCTCACCCCGTGATGACGAGTAACCTTAATTTGTTTGTGGGCAGGGTATGATAAAACATAAATTCCCACCCTGTGTAATAGTGGGGGGGGGAATTGGCCGTAGAAACTGAAAAGGTTTCTGTACCAAAATTGGGGATTTTAATGGATTGAATCAGGTTTGGAGCCTCGAGTGGCCATTAGAGGAACTGCACCATTGGCTTCATATTTTCGACCCGGAGGTCTCTCCACTTGATTGTGGATTGAGTTTTACCAAAAAGTGCTGGTCCTCCAGGCCCCCCACTCAAAAATCTTCACTGTCCTATCAAACACAGATTTTAAAAAAAATAATTAACTCAAGAAAACTAATCCAAATTTATAAACTGAAGAACTTTCTTTTTTTCCAGTCCCATTAATCCTCTCACAACCTCTCTGACTAATCAGGAGGAGGGACTAAACTCCCTGCCTGAACAGAGAATAATTAAACCTTGCCTCAGCTTGACCTGATTACTTTTCCCCCCATTGTTTCAGTAGCACTCTGGCTTCAATAAAGACCCGAGCACATCTTCCAGCACTGTGTAACAGATAGTTTGATTTGAGGGCTTCGCGTGTGCAGATTGTCGCGGCCAGCTCAGCTTGGTTGCATAACATCCTTACTCCAAATGCCAAGGCTTTTAGCAGCTGAATTATGCTCATTGTGTTTGCTCCAGATCGTGCACAGCGTGATTCAAAGGACCTTGTTGATAGGTTTTGAAATCAGCTGTGTTTGCGTTATAACTAAGCCGGCTGCTTTAATGCACAGCATTCGTGTGAGCGGCCTGCTAAGCTCTGCTGCTTTCCAGCGTCATCGCTGCCTCCCCTGCTTGGCAGAGTAGGGAGGTTATTGATTTTCTGCCTCGGCTCACTTTTGATTCATATCAAGCTGAACATGAAGATGATATTTTATTCAGGGCGTTTGTAATTCTTTTGTTCTGTGATGACTTGCATGCACGGGATCAGCAGTTTGGACTGTTTTAAAGGTTTTTGCTCACATATCAAGATCATAGCACTGCTCGAGCTCGTAAACCGGGGCTCATGTACTCGCCTGACGTTGTTTGGTTGTGTTGTGATGCCTGTGGAAATGCTTGTTTGCAGCTCCACCTGGCGGCCCACCGCAGTACAGCGCCATCTTCGGCAGCAGGCTCTCATCCAGCTCAACTCCTGCCAGGTAGAGGAAAAAAAAGCAGCCTTGTCAAATCAGCTTTTGTTAAATATGGCAAATTTTTAATGTTTCTGCTTGTGGAGCTGTTTAAAGGTCAAATTCTGATCGATCCTCTTTTTTTTTTTTTTTTTTTTTCTTCCCCCCCTCTTTTCATCTACTTCTCCCCAGCTCCCCTGGTGTCGATACCGTCTCCAGCTCCCAAAGTTTTGCAAGTAGGTGCCGAGCGCGAACTGCATCGATTGCTGCTGTTAACCTGCACTATTTACATTCAGTTCCCATCTCTTCAAAAACAGTCCAGCACTCCAGATTAGACTGTGAAAATCAGAGCAGTGTTGCCTTGAATAGGCAGGAATGTAACCCGTTAACCCCCGGGCAGAACACTGAATTATCTCCCTGTCTCTCTCCCCCCAACCCCCAACCCGTGTGTCTCAGATTTCCCCAACCCATTCAGCTCCAGCTCCAGCTCCAGCTCTGCTTCCCAGCAGCCCGTCGCCCTCTCCCCCAGTAACCCCTTCAGTAACGCCTCAGGAGGTAAGCCCCATGCTCACTCTTTCTGAAACTTCCTGCTGCAACTTTTTAAGATGTTAGAGCAGCTTGAGCTGGTTAGATAACCACCGCTGTGGTGGAGGCAAAGAAATAATCACACATTAAAAAATATATGTAAGGTTGAAACCCTTTTTACCTTCAAAGCCGCTTTAGTTCTTTGTTCTTTGATGACATCGCACAGCACATCCATGATGTGAATCTCTTGTTCCACCTGTTGAATGTGGAGGCCATTGGAGTGCAGTGAACTCATCGCTATGTTTAAGAAACCAATTTTTGAGCTTTGTGACATGGTGTGTTATATGAAGATGTGTACACTGTGGTCACAAAGGGATGGACATGGTCAGCAACAACAATCAGGCTGGCTGTGGTATTTAAATGATGCTCAGTTGGTACTAAAACACTAAAAGTGTGCCAAGAAAACATCCCGCACACCATTACACCACCAGCAGCCTGAGCCATTGATACAAGGCAGGTTTGATTCATGCTTTGATGTTATTTATACCAAATTCTGACTCCATCTCTGTCATCTGCATCAGACCAGGCAACATTTTTTCTCATCTTCTGTTATCTAATTTAAGCCCACGGGAATTGTGTCTTCTGTTCTGATAGCAGTGACATGCGGTGTTGTCTTCTGCTGCTGTAGCTCATCTGCTTCAAGTTTGGAGTGGATGCGCTTCTGCATACCTCCCTTTTAACGACTGGGTAATTTGACTTATTGTTGCCTTCCTATTAGCTCGTAGCAGTCTGAGAACGGCTGCTCACTGGATATTTCCTCTTTTTCAGACTATTCTCTGTAAACCCTACAGATGGTTGTGTGTGAAGATCGCAGTAGATAAGCAGTTTCTGAAATACTCAGACCAACCAGTCTGCTGTCAACAACCGTGCCAAATTAGGCATGCAGACATGTTCATCTTGAACTGTAGATATTCTCCTCGATCACATTTTTCCTGATATATTTATTTCCTCTCTCAGGCTGCCCTATGGACAGTGTTGGGGAGTAACGGAATACATGTACCGCC